TAAATTTTATAATTCCATCAGCTTTGTGCCATAGTCTATGAGATTATGGGTTCTCTCTCGAATAAGATGTGGATATAGTTCCCAGGGCCAACGTTCACATCAATTTATTCTAGAAAATCCCATTAAATATCTTAAGAGAAGTTTACTTTCCAGTTTCACATTAAGCAATATTTTGTCTAAAGAGAGCAAGCTCCTTAACATAAAAAATATGATACAACAAAACCAATGAACTATGTTTTGCTGCAAATTCACACTGAAACGAATGCCTGTTTGGATATCAAATGACTTGACTTCCTACAAATAGATATGCATATGAACCATCGGAAACGGAAGAATCATGTGAAATAAAATGCTTGCTCATTTACAGATCAAGGGTATAAGTCATTGTGTCATTTCTGAATCCCCAACACTCTCAGTGCACTGCCCTTAAATGTAGTAGGTACACAATACCTACAAGCCGAACAAACTATTAAATTAATTTCAACCTGTAAGGGATTTCAGTGGTGCTCTAATCTAAAAGTGTCATTTTACAGAGGGTGAAATCGAGACCACAAAATTTTGACTGGCTATGGCTACATAATTAATATCTGCATATAGTTAGGACTATAACCAAGGATTCTTAATCCCCAGTAGGTAATTATTTCTTCAACTAAAATAAGAAGTAGCATTTACTGAGCACTTACTATGTACCAGCCACTTCATATACATGTCAAATCTTCAGGAGAAAGCCTGCAAAAAATGTACTATCCTCATATTTTAGTTGAGAAAACTGAAACAAAAAGTTTAAGTATCTTGCTCGAGGCTTAGTACTGGTAAGCAGGAGAGCTAACATTCAAACTCAAATCCACCTGCTTCCAAACCCACTGCCTTCCATGGCACACACCACATTAACATCCATTAATAGCATAAAGCACTGATCAGAGAAGGAATTATATGGGCTTGCTAGAGAAAGCTAAAATCTTATTTTATTTAAAAAAAAAAGAAATGCCAGGTCAAAAAAGAAAAAAGAAAAAAAAAAACTATATCAAAATGTATAGCCAAATCGAGTGTTTATATGTAACCTCTCTATAAAATTAGATCCGTAATCAACTTAGAAAAATAATCTATTCCCGATGAACACCCATCTGAAAACTGAATGATGGCAAGTTACCTCGTGCTCAATGAATCACCAGGTGCAGATTCCATGTCTCAGGAAAGACGAAGAAGTGGGCGGATAAGAGAACACCCAAATCACTACTTAAGGTAAGAGCGCAATGTGACAGGCGTACTTTACAGTCCCTGATTTTCCACAAGTACATGAAGCTTCCAGCTAAGACTATGCCTCCTCCACCATCACCTGAAATCCACCCAAGATAGGGTTACTTAAAATACAGCCTCCAAAAGGTCTGAGCTTTTCTGTCCTACCTTAAAGTCTTTAAGACAAGCTATTTGGTGGGGTTTCGGAGTCAGATCACTTTGGGTGACAGTCCCTGCTTTGCCACTGACCTTTTATAAGCTCTTGGTAAGTCATTTAGCCTACTGGAGCCTCGGTTTCCTCATCCATGTAATGGGAATACTAATATCTATTCACAACATTTTTTATGAAAATTAAGCAAGATGATAAAATGTAAAGCATCTACACAAAAGCCTGACCCAAGATGGGACTCAATTTATTCCATAAAGTTGGATGGTAAATGTCAAGTCCCAGAATAACTAAAGGCAAAGGGGTACATGGGAATCAACCAGATCATCCCGCTCCATCATAAATGCAGCATTAAAGATATCATACTGGCCGAGTATGTCAAGTAAAAGCCTCTGTTAACAAATCTTATAACACTATTTCTTGCAAGAAGGGGACACGGAGGTGAACCGAAATATTCAAATTGACACCAGCATAAAAATATGAAAAAGAGATATTAACACTTGCCAGCTACCTATTACCTAATAAGGAATTTATACGGATTAATGAGTATAGCACTTTGAAATTCCTTGGAAATAAGGAATAAACATATGCACCATCACACATACATATATAGACAAAAATATATTTTAACAAACATACTGTATAAATTTAGAACAGGGCACAGCATGCCTAGGATGAGTAGGGTAGGAACAATATGTTCCTGCTTATGACACCAAGCTCATGACAAATGATTCATACCCAGCACCTTTCATGCCAAAAGGTGCCCCCAGGTGTTCCACCGACTCTGGCAACACTTTCCATCAAGCTGGACTGCAGTATAGAGTAATCGCATCACACTGACGAAAGAGGCAAAACAGTCATGTCTTTACAAAACTGCACAGGTTCAACAGTGGAGGGGGCAGGGAGGAGAAGTGAAAGAGGTAAGAGAACCAGCCAGAATCCCTCACCAGTTTGAGAGGCAGCCCATAGTTACCTGATATTTACACCTTTGATGCAGGTGGTATTGTCATCAAAAGCCCTACTTACAATGGCTTTTAGCTAAAGGAGGACAGGTTTAGAAGATGTGTATTGCCTGTGGCCCTGAAAGAATTGGAGGAGGGGTTATAGAGGAAGACATCTAAATGTGCAAAAATGAGAGACCCCCAATGTTGTCCTCTGGTTTCGGTTAGTGGATGTCTAGCTCTGGGGGTAAAAGTGCTGTAAGATGAGAGTTCTAAACAGATGCACCGCACTTATGCAGATCCTGGCACATACTTTCCTGTAGCGAATTGACAGGCATTGTCCCCATTTCAAAGATGAGGAAATTCACACTCAGATTGCAATCAAGTTGCCATAATCAAAATACAAATAGGCAGAGGAGAACTAGGGTCTTGACTGCTTTTCGTGTACAAAGTTGCAAAGTTGTGCAAAAAAAGAAAGAAAAGTTTCTTTCTGCCTTCCCTCCCTTTAAAAAATATTTAAAACTTTGACTCGCCTATGAGTCTGGGCCAGGTATGCGTTGGACCCTCTGTAGATATACACTAAAAGGAAACCAATTTGTGTGTAAGCAGGCAGGGGTGAGGAGGGGGGCCGGGGAGGTGTCGTAACAGAATAAGAGACTTCATAGAGTAGAAATCTCATTAGTTAACATGATTTGAGTGCTCAAACCTTTAACACACACCACTTTGATTAGTTCCTACATTATCTCAGACTTCCCTGCATGTCTTCCATCTGAGTCCTGACCCCAATAAGCCTTACTGAGCTTATAAGCAATATTAAAAAAAAAGAATAGAAAAAAAAATCTGGCAGTGCTTGGCGCCATTTCTTAAATGGAGTTTAAAATTTGCCAAAGATATACTCTCCTTTTCTCTCTCTTTCCAAGATGTTTCAAGAGACAAACTGAAGTAGAGGTCTAATGGGTGAGTGATATTTTACAGCTTGAATTACATTAACAGCCAGAAGTATTTTGAATCTAAAGTCCTTTATTTCTTGATGCAACAAGATCTAATATATCTGATGTGTCTGAAAACTCCCTTAAAACCAGAAGCTTCGAGCTAATCACTTAAAGCCATGCAAAAGTTATTCAATTAGTTTAAAAAGATTCAGGTTCAAACTGGGTGATTAATTTTAGTGGTTATGATATGAAAGATATGATAGTTAAGGTAAAGAATGAAGGCAAGGGTCTCCAGAACTTGAATGGAAATAATGTGGCTTCAATTATTTGATTAAACCAGTGCTGAGAACCACATAGGACCACAGCCTCAGTCATGAAGCTAAATTGTAAAAAAGCCTCTGATGACACTCTCAGAAAAGAGACATCAATACAATTTATCTGTATGTACCCAAGGAATCCATAATGACAGACTATTATTTTAAAATGTTCACAACTTTCATTAAAAAGCTGACGATGAGCACAACTCACTAAAGTGGCACTTCCCTGGGAAGGTTTCTGGCGATTACATCATAACTGAAAACATTTTGAAAGGTACCATGCTGCATAGACGATGCTTATTACAAATACTACAATCTCGACAACCTGATGGAAGCCGAAACTTTGATTTATTTCTTTTCATTTTACCCATCCTTGGTTTTTATGTTCTTCTTGCCTGCTTAATGGCAGCCTAGAGAAGTTTCCACACTTTTAAATCCTCTTCAGTCATTACCATCAAAAGCTAGCTCTTTACTATTTCAGCTCATTGAAGTTTCCAGGTGCAGTTTTAACTGGAACAGCTACCTCAGATGCCAGACATGCAGGCTTCTCCAGAAATCTAAAACCTTCCCTGACGTGGCCGAAGCTCATGGACTTGCAGCCACTCTCTCCAGTGTTGCCTCCTAGAATCCAGCACCCCCTCGCCTTCTTCATAAAGAAGGCTAAATCTTTATGTGTGCTCTTCACTAGAGTAGGTCAGGCAATGGGAGAGAACAGGGGGTTGTTGTCACTGCGATATATCTGATCTTCCTGGGACTGATCATACCAGAGAACAACCACTCATTCACAGGCTAGAAAACCCCAGCTCTCAAAACACACTGGCTGCTGCTGTTAGAAGATGCTGGAGAGTTCCCGTACTGAAACTTGCATCCACTTGGTCCCCAGAAACAGAGAAGACATTAAGGGCACCTTATCATCCACAGCATGTCTCTTCCCTTGTGGGGAAGAGGGGGCTAGGAGATCTGCATAAAAATAAAATAAAAATCCTCAAAGTCTTATTGATCTTACTTGTGCTCAACCATAAGTCTATCAAGTAAAGGGGAAGTCACTTGAGGGAATGTCAGTCTGCCTGGAAATTTAACCCTTTCACCTCCACATTCAGAATACTTTAACCCTCCTCTGTTTGTCTGATCTTCAGATCCATATTACACCAACGAGACCAAAGAAGCAGGAGACAGGGATTTGCCTGCCCTGCTTAAACCTTTGTTTGGGGCTTGGAGAGGACACTGATGGTTTTGGTGGGAATGGGCTGGGGGGTGGTCTCCTAGGAGGTGAGCAGGGTAAGACTTTAGTTTGCAGCATCTTTCCAGTCCGGAAACTCCATTTCCCCAAATTCTCCATCAGATCACGCAGCTGACTTTAACCCTTCCCATCTTTCACCCCCTTTGCCCTCAGTCCCATTCTACTCACGCTGCTGTTGTGGCCAGACCAGTGGACCATAGCTTGGTTGTGTGCCGAGTCTCCTGTCAGAGCGAACGTGGTGCTGGTCAGTTTCAGCTCCTCCATCCGGAAGCGAGTGGCTTTGTCCGGGTCCCTCTCCAGAGTCCCAGGCTGCTGCAGCCCTCCGTCCCTTAGCACTCCCCGGGGGCTTCTACTCGCGCCCTCGCCTTGCTCTGCCTTCTCCTGATCCGCTCCGCTCCGTCTCCTCCGGCCAGAGCGTGGAGCAACCGCCACCGACGACCCGGTGTCCGAGGCCCGCTCCAGGGACAGCGCTCGGTCTCCGGGGGCCACTGCGAACAGAGGGCGCCCGAGAAGGGGCAGGGGCGTGGCAGGAGCCCTGCCTCGAGGTCCCTGGTGAAAAAAGCCCCCCGGGGTCGAAGCCCAGCGTGGGGCCGAACTGGGGTGCAGCTGGGGGCTGCAAGAGCCGCCGCCACAGGCGCCCGGGGCGCAGAGGACCAAGAGCCCTGCGCCGGCGAGGAGCGCGCTCAGCCCGGCCGGGGAGCCGCGGCCGGCGCCAACTTTTCCCATTGCGGGAGCGGAGAGGAGCGAAAAGAGGGTCCCGGACCGGAGGTGGAGGTGCAGGGCTCTCCGCTGGCCGGCTGTGGGGGACAGGCGCTCAAGACCCCAACTCCATCCAAGTTGGGCCGAGGT